AATCCAATATTGTTATCTTGTCCCCCCAAATACCATCTCTGTGTGCTATAAATGTCAATTGTTAAGTATTCCATACCCACCAATGTAAAAGAAGTGTCTCTCCATTTTACTTTTTATCCACCCCAGAGATTTCCCCGCTTTGCTTTCTCCCACCCCTTTAATCTATCACCAGTGGATTTCATGTAATCCTCCTTATGTCTCCGCCTTTAATTTTAATATATAAAATAAGCTGCAAAACTGCCATTCTCTGGAGCATTTTCTTAACCCGTTGAAAATTTGCTTCTTAGCAATTGTTGTCAGCTTGGCTCAAATAAACTCATTAAACTTCTCTACAGGTTTGGATGTTTCTTTTTTTTTTTTTTTTAGCTGAGCCATCCTGCCACCTGTTGGCAGCTCAGTGGCAACTCAGCTCGGGTCCATGTGGGAATCGAACCGGTGACCCTGTGGCTCAGAGCTCGCACTCTTGAGCAAGCTCTGAATCAACTGAGCCACTCTGCTGGCCCTGGATGTTTCTTATGTCTACAGTTTTTAACATATGAGTTTGGGGGGACACATTCAGACCAATGATCTTATGTAAAGAAGGAACCGCTGGGCTAGGACTTCATTTCCTAATTCTTGAGATTCAGTCATTTCCCGATTCCCACTCTGCTGTGAAGAATAGAGCCCAGTGTGAAGTTATGGGGGTGTGCTGCGTCTGGCCCAGGTTCACAGAGAGTGTCTACCACAAGAAGGTGCCAGCTGGGTATCCTCTAGCTTAGTCAGTAAACATTCTTTTTTTCTTTAGGGGAAAGGCATTACAAATATTTTGCCAAGGAGAAGTCTAGAAAGATTTGTGTGTTTAAAACTGCTTTTGAGTGTCTCTTGGAAACTCTGAGAGGTAAGTAGAATGGTGTGTTAGTCCAGGTCCTCTGAGAAGCAAACACCAAGATAGCATTACAAGTGCAAGAATTTTATGAGGGCCAACATTTGTGAGAGGAAATGGGTGGGAGTTGGGAAGGCAGGGAGAGCTGTGAGACATGTATGATGCAAGGCTGACTCTGAGTGGAGAGAGGAAAGGTAGGTTGGGTGGAAGCATTCTTGACCATGCTGCAGTCTAAGGAAGGTTCGGCAAGGCCATCGGAGTTCTTGAGGCAATGAAGCCAATCAGAAGAGTCCATGTGTCCCTGGACTGGGCCTGCCTTAGAATGCCTGCTATAGTCAGGAGCTGGCTAGAAGGAGCCTGAGGGAAGTCTAGTCCCCACATAAACACATTGGGGCCCTTGGTCAGTTTTGTTTTCTGTAATTGGAGGTCTGAGGGGCACATTCTTTTGGCCACCACAGAGGGCATTTTGACTCCTATGTTACAGAGTTGGCAGAATTCCAGAAAACTCCAGGGTCTGTGTGAAGTCACAAAGCAGGATGAGAATCCAGACCTTCTGATGCTCATCCCAAGTTCCTTCCTAGATGACATAGGTCCTCAGTCCAGAGGTGGAGGTTGATGGATTCATAGGGCATTTGGACTTACTATCCCAGGATAGTTAAGCCAGGCTGTGCACTTCAGGGTCAAGAGCTACCTGTCCCTGGGATTTGAATGACATCACCATCTCAACAGAGGTTGTTCAGGGAAACATCCAGGGCCACTACCATGTCCCTATTTATCTGACAGGGTATGGATAACCTTCACAGAAACTTCTCAAACCAAAATTGAATTGAATTGAATACATCATAAAGAAAGAAAGAGATGCTGCACTTTTGGAGTGGGAAAGTTAAAGGTTCATGAAATCAGAGGCCTGGGATTCCTTCTCCACACCAGGCTGTTGGGCTGTGAGGACCATTTCATTCTCCCCTATGACAGGATTGGGTTAAACCTCCAACGTGACCTTCTTTCTCTAGGTTCTCTGAGTAAAGGGCCACTCTACTCTGAGTCTGAAAGAACTGAGTGAACTGTTTGCGAAAAGAACTTGGACCCTCTCAAGAGCCTTCAGCCTCAGCCTCTTCCACTTAAGATGTGAAACCCTGGTCCCACCACATTCAATTCTGAATATTAAAAAAAATTTAATTTAAAAAGGAGGATCCAACATTGTATTTTCTCAACTGTAAAAAAGATCTGTAGAAGGAAAGAAATATTGGGTTGTCGGAGAAGTCATGATGCATGTTTGCTACAGATGGCACTAGTTCATTTTTGGAAGTACTAGAGTCATTCGCATCTATGTTATTGCTATGTCATTTGACAACTGACAGTTCTAGCTTCATTCTAAAAAAAAAATGAGCGATTTGGTTGAGCTTTGGAGATTTTACAAGTTGAAGATGGAAGACTAACCTGCGTTTCTGCCATATTTTGCTGTTTTACTTCCATAAAGGGAAGAACGCACATCAAGCTTGTGAAAAGTTGCATAAAGTTTATGGTGACAATGCTCTGTACAAGAATGTCAGTGCCAATGATGGTTCACAAAATTCCGTGCTGGTGATTTTGATCTCAACGATGCTCCTCAGTCAGGGAGGCCCACCAAGGTTGATGATGACAAAATAAAGACACTGATCGAGTCAAACCCACATTATATGACATGAGAGATTGCAGAAACATTGAACGTCCATCATTCAAGCGTTCACGACCACCTGAAGAAGCTGGGATACGTAAGCAAGCTCGATATTTGGGTTCCACATGAACTCAAACAAGTTCATTTGACAGCGTGTATGAACATCTGCAGTATGCTTATTAAACTTGAGGAAAACGATCCTTTTTTGAAGCGACTGATAACTGGTGATGAGAAGTGGATTGTTTACAACAATGTGATGCGCAAACGGTCTTGGTCCCGACGTGATGATTCGCCTCAAACGACATTGAAAGCAGACATTCATCAGAGGAAGGTTATGCTCTCAGTGTGGTGGAATTTTAAAGGTGTCATGTTTTTTGAGCTCCTACCAAGGAACCAAACAATCAATTCAAATGTGTACTGTCGGCAATTGGACAGATTGAACGAATCCATCATCCAGAAACATCCAGAGCTTGTTAATTGTAAAGAATTTGTGTTCCATCACCACCACGCGAGACCACACACAAGTTTGATCACCTGTCAAAAATAATTGGAGGGCCTGCCGAGAGGCGTGTTGGTTAAGAGCCGACTTGGGACACCAGAGGGCCCTGGTTCGGATCCCACATATGAGGGCCAGTGACACTGCCCTCCACAGCTAAGATGCTGAACAACAGCTCAACCTGGAGCTGGGCTGCCATGAGTCGCCAGCGACAGCGTAGGCTGCAGCCCCTGCTGCAGTGGGTTGCCATGGGTTACTGTGTGTAGCCAGCAGCCAGCGTGAGTGGCCAGCAGCCTCCGTGAGTGGCCGTCCAGAATCCAGCGACTGATCTGCCTCGCCTGGGAAGAGCACAATGAAGGTGCCAACTTGGGCCAGTGAAGCAACGTCCTCTACAACTAGACTGAAGAACAAAATGACAGCAACTTGTCTGTTCCCCTTCCCCTAATTCCCAAATTAAAAAAAAAATCCCCCCCCAAAAAAGACATTTTCTATCATCTAGGTTTCTTCCAGAAAGACAGCTTTGTGAGGGATCATCTGCCCCGCCAGCCCTGGGGTGTGGGTCTGTTTATTCATGTGTAAAATGAAAAGATCAGGCTAGAACCGTGATTTTCCTTCTCCCCCACCCTAAAATTGCACCCCTGGGCATGCCTGTTGTGGAAATGGGTGGTGGGTAGGTTTGGAGACAGGATATTTGGCTGGCACTGGGCTCTGGACCCACAGAGCAGTTGTGCTTTTGTCTTGTCTCATATATTTTTTGTCTGAAAACCTCTGTATTAGAATAGAGGGTCTTGAGCCAGCTCCTCAGGCCCCTGGAGGGTTTGAGAAATCCTGGATTTTAGGGCCTACTGGGGGAAGGGGGGGAGGGGGGGCATACTCATTTGTCCCTTTGGCATGTGTCTCCATGGACCCTGGTGGGTGAGCCAGACCAGGGTGCTGGCTCTAATGGTCAGCTATCTAAACAAGCCCATTTGGGGGAAGCCGGAAGTGTGCTCCTTGCTTTAGAACCTCTAGGTCACACATGGCTTAAACACAATGAGAACTCTAACAAGCCTTCAAAGTCTAGACCTCCTCTAAGGTAGGGCCTGAAAGGAGTCAAACCACTGTTTTTTCACACGGGATAACCTTTTGGAAGTACACTTTGTAAACAGTAAAGGGTGGTGCACAGATGGGGGAAGTGCCATTATGAGGATGACTGTTCTAACTTGGACCAGCAGGGCCAGAGCAAATCCATAACTGCTGGTTACACTAAGGACCTACCATGTGCCAGGCACCGTGCTAAGGAATCCCTTAATCTTCACGACAGCCCTGTGAGTCCTTATTGCCATTGCTTGGACAGATGAGGAAACGGAGGCTCAGATCACATGGGGAGGAGGTGACAAAGCTAGGTTTTGGGTCTGCAGCTCCAGCTTTCAAGCCAAGGCCTGTGAGAGGAACCCCTGAGGCCTCATGTCGGGCCTTCTCTCCATATGTGCCCGGGGGGAAACTAATGCCACCTTTCATCAAAGGCTGGTGGATTGTCAAGGATACTTTGAGACCTTGCCGTGTACAATGGCACTCAAAGAAAAAAAAGTTAAGAAAAATTTTATACTATGGAATGCTTTCTTTGAAAACTCTTATGCATAAATCCAATCTAGAAAAACCAGAGTTGGGCTCCTGTGGTTGAAGGTGGAAGTGGGGGTGGCCTGGGGCCCCTTGGGCTCCCAGAGCACCACTGCAGGTCACTTATCCAGTAGGTTGGCATTACTGTGAGAAGCAAGGAGGTGCCATGGTGCTTAAGGCTCTGGTTTTGGGTTTGAAACAATGAGGTGGGATTGTGGCAGAGCCATTTGTGGGCTAGTTGGTCTCGGGGAGGGCTACAGGATTCCAGGCTTGCCATATGCTTTGGCCACTGGTCTGTTTGACCCGGGCACCACCTGCCTCACTCACACTCCCTTCTAGCCAACAGCTATGACCTGTCACTCACAGGGTAGGAAAACGTATCTTCACCATTTTTTATTTAGTGAATTTAATCTTTAAAGATATGGATTACAAGGTTAAAAGCGACAGCACCCTTCCTTTTTTCTTGCTCTTAGAAAAGGCATCATCTGTTTTTATCTGCATCACAAAAGCAGAATGTTTAAGTTCAGTTTTTGGTGTCGGATCGACGGCAGATCTGCCCTTTTGACCCCGGAGCAGGGGCTGGCAACATGGCTCACAGTGGAATCATCAAACGGACCTCCTTCTCATAGATGTCAGGGATCACTCCCACAGGGGAGCTGACCATGTGCACAGTATTCTTGCCAAACAGCTGGAACTCATAGTGGATAAGCTGCTCCCAAAAGCCATTGTTGGGTCGGATGATGGGCCGGCATGACTTGATCCACGTGTGGGCATCCAGCAGGGACACGGCGTGGTACTTCATGAGGTAGGCGAGGCAGAGGGCAGCCGAGCGGCTCACGCCGGCCGCACAGTGAAGCAGTGTGCGGCCCTGCTTCATCTCCACACTGTGAATGTGGTCAGCAATAGGGTCAAAGAAGTCACAGAGACGTGAGGTGGGTGTGTCAGCCACAGGCACCTGCACATATTGGATGTCCTCATATAGCGTGTTCACCACCTCCACCGAGACGTTGATGACCGTGGTGATCTGGTTGCTGGAGAGCATGAGCTTGTTGTTGGCAGCCATCCCACTACTGATATACAGGCTGCTGGTGATCTGTGAGAGGCCGCTGACTGAGGGTTGCCGGAACTGAACCGGGAAGGTACAAGGGGGTGCCGTCATCAGGCCGTTAAGTTAGCTGCCAGTGAGGAATAAAGGCTGCATCTTTCTCTTAGGCTGTGTCCACGGAAAACTGCAAAGAGGGAGAGAATATTTAGAGAGCAGGAGCCCGGCTAGGCCAGCAGGCCAACCCCAGGGGATTTCTGAGAAATGGATAGATAGGCCTATATGGATAGAAATGGATAGATAGGATTCCCCAAGGTAGTCCTCTGACCATCACAGTAAAATGACCCAGGGAACTTACCAGATACTCAGGTTCTTTCTCAAATCCGCCGAGTAGGCTCTTGGGGTGAGGAACACAAATCTGCATTTTTAGCATGCTTCTCAGGAGACATAATGTGCGTTGTCCTGCAGGACAAAGGACAACCCCAAGACTGGCACTAAAGGCCTCCCCTTAAGGGGCTTCACATTTTCAGTCGGGCAGGCCGACTTGTGTCCTGAAGCTGAACCCTGGCCTAACTTTCCACCTAGGCTCATACAGCCTTCTTCTCCCTTCTCTTCAAAATTCTCTCCTTCCTTCCAGCCCCTCTAAGTGGGAACAACTCACATAGTCTCCCTCCTCAGTCTTCTGACTTCATGCTCAAATTATGAGACTCTAAACCAGTGACAAGAAACCAGAGCCCACTGTGCTGGGAGTCACTGGTGGTATAAAAGAAGGGTCTTAGCTTCCCCCCTCTAAGAACCATCTCTGTGAAGAGACAAAAATGTGCCCATGTGAAACTGACCTCAAATTGTAGTCCTACATGGTTAACCATGCTCCTGCACCTTGCCTCTCAGGACAGCCTGAGGAAAAGGGTCACTGAAAGCTTCCTGGAGGCCAGCAAAAAAGGTACTAAAGCAGCCCCCAAGGCCAAGTGCAGAGAGGTAGAGGGGCCTCAGGGAGACAAGGCATACCAGCACGATGCTGTGTGCAGCAGGACTGTGGCATGCACCCCAGGGCTAAGAAATCCCAGGGCCCTTATTCTCCCAGTCTTGAACAAAGCTGTAAAAATAGCACATCTTCATGCATTTCACTGAAATAGGAACATCCGGATTTAGAGCATTCAAACCAAATAGCAATCTTCATCCAGTACAGACAAATAAGAAGCTGATGTTCTGTTCCCCTGCTTAATATATTTCAGTGGCTGCCCACTGTCAGGATGAGATGGAGCCCTTTAGCTTGGCTGCCAAGGCCATTTACAGCCTGGCTCCTGCCTATCTCTCCAGCCTGCTATTAGCCTTCCCTGTGTCCTGAAGGGCCTCAGCTAGGCTGAGCCACTTGCAGTTCTGTATGGACATCTGGTCCTCTCTGATCTGAGCCCTTTGCCTTTGCTGTTCTCAGTCTATTCCTTAACACACTTGTCAGATCCTGATCTGTTACATTCAGCAGAGCCTTGGGGTCTTAGCCAAGGATCACTTCCTGAGGGAAATCTCCTGGGATCACACCCCTCCCCCACATTTAATCAAGTCCCTGCTCCAGGCTTTCTAAGGCCTGTGCTTCCTAACACTTCCTGAAGATGTGGTTTTGCCTTGATCTGTCTGTAATTCTATTTAGGGTATCACTGTGTCTGTCTTCACTCCTACTGTTTTACCAGTGTCAAGCTCCGTGTCCCCACAAGTAGGTGCTTGATAAATATTTGTTGAATGAGGGAATGCTTCCAACAACCACTATTCTGCCTTCTGAGAGGTTTTCTGGAAAGGATGAGTTCTCTGCCATGTTTCTCTAGAATTTGGGGGAGGGGCTGGGTGTAGGTGAGTGTGGTTCCTAGGCTGCTGGAGAGGAAGGCCAAAGGCTGCATAGGCAAATCCCACCTGTCAAGGCCCCAGTCAAACACATCAGGCTCACCCCAGGAAAAGTAAGTAGATGGGGCTGGTTTGTTCTAAAGGTCATGCGAGGGCAGGGAAAAAAGCTCCCCTCCCCCAACCCAGTTGGAAACCTAAATGCTAAGATATGTTTTGGATCCTCATCCAAAAACCCAGAGAGAAGTAGACCTAGTTCCCCTCACCTCAACTAGTACTCTGTGGACAACAGGACTAGGGAAGACTACTGTTCATCACAGTGACAAAAGATTTGCAAAGGAGACACTGCTTTTGGTGAGGGTAGTGATGGGAAGAGAGTCATTTTCATTAGGAGCTGGGGATACTGAAATGTACAAGACAGCCATGGTCCCCTCTCTCACAGAGCTCTAAGTCTGGTGGGAGAGACAGACATTAAACAGGCAATTACAAGCACATCAGGGTTGGAAAATAAAGATAACAGTGCCTGCCTTTATAAAGATCTTCTGAGGATTAAATGAGGTAACCCAGGTAAAGTGTTCAACACAGGGCCTGGCACAGAGTGGGTCCTCTAGAAATGATAACTATTTTTGCTGTTGTTAAGGAAGTTAAAACGCAGAGCATTATGGGAGTGACTAAAAGGATTTACTTTCAGGCACAGAGCTAGGAAGTTGCAAAGATCGCCTGAAGAAATGACACAAAGATCTGAAGAACGGTTAGAGAGAGGGAGAGGAAGGAGGAACAGCAACTCCGCAGCAGATCAATTTCACTATTTTACAGCCCGAAAAGCCTTTGGCCTTCCTCACCTGGTTCATCTTCAAAGCAGCATAATAGGCCGGAATCTGGAGTTAATGGCTCCATTTTACACGTGGGGAAAGTGAGGCAAAGAGGGAACCTGTCTAGGGTCACAAAGCAAGGTCCGAAAGCCTGTCTTTCTGGTCTCATTATATGTGGTAAAAGTCGGCAAACACTGCGGGGCGTTCGTTAATACCGGGTTATAAACGAGGAACAAAGTACATGGGTTGACAGTCCACGCACACTTCCAGGTGAGAGCCAGATAGGTTTCCAAGGAAGGTGGCGTTGGAATGGGCTTCATCAACTACTGGGTATCAAGACCCAGATGGTCTTACCTCTGTCCCGCGGGCAGGAGTGCAAGTTCGTTCAGGAAGCAACCGCGCCCGACGCCTCGGACAACGGTATCGGGGAGAGAGAAGACCGGTCACAACCAGGAAGTCACAATCCCCCACGTCCCGGAGCTCTGGTTTTCATAGCAACGGTCCCTCGAAGTGGGTAGGAATCCGCCGTGCAGAGTCTTCGGAGAAACCCCGGCCTCGCCTCCCAACCCTGGAGCTGCCCCGCCCGAACTTACCCGTTTACCTGCCCCACGATCACGCGGGGGCCACAGCAGTCCTAGCCGAAAAGCAGGGTCTGCTCAGCGCGCGACAACCCACTCCAATGGCTCAGCCCGTCTCCCACAGCAACGCGCCATGCTGCACCACGGCACCCGCCGAGGGACAATCCTGCCGCGTCTGCACCCTCCCGGGCTTCGCGCGCATTCTGACTCGGTCCCTCCTCCCTCGCTTGTCTCCCGGGCAGCGAGCGGTGCTCTGCGCGGCGTCTGCCCCTGGGCTTACTACGCGTCCGCGCACGCCCACCGAAGATGGCTCCTAGTTTGGCTCCTATTTCTGAGTCGTTCCCCAACGTGGAAGGCGCTACTACCCAGCAGCCCAAGCCCTCGGTCACATGGGACTTAAGTTCGCCCTCTGCTCAAGCAGCCGCCGCCCAGGCGACTACCAGTTCGGGCACTTATCCGGCCTCGGCCTTCCGGCAGGGCAACCGCCCCGAAATTAACTTAGGGGCCCAGCCAAAGATCTGCTTCCTGCAGCCTCGGACCTCGCAGCCGCTAGTGCTATTCAGGTGCGGCGCGGGTACCCAGAGCGTTCGTCAGCCCGAACTCCCACAGACCCCCTGCTCCCTCAGCTGGCCCCTGGAGCCCCGACCCTGGCCCTCCCGGAGCCCAGCCCTTACTTAGACCCCCAAGAGAGTCTGAATTTCACACAGACCCGGGTCCCAATTCCTTTCCAGTCCAGTTCTTCGCACCGCCAGCAGCCCGGGAGCCAGAATGCCCTCAGCCCAGACGTCCAGGAGAAGCCGGAATTCCCACCTCCAACTTACATTCCTCCAAATTGCACCGGCCCTGTAGTCTCCCAGGCTTGACTTCGTGTAGCTGGGGGTCCCCAGCGCCCTTTGGGCCGAGTCTTGAACTTCCTTAGAGTCCGGTGAGGCCCAGGTCTCCTCAGGCTTGACACCCCTCTCCTCAGCCTCTGCCCTGGGAAAGCCCCCAGTTCCCTCAGCCTGCCCCCAGTCCCCACAGGCCCCAATTTCCGCACCCTCACAACCCCTCACAGCATTCTCCAGGCTCCCGCAGAGGCCTTGCTTTGCAAAGCATTTAATTCACAATTGCCATTATTTATTACTTGAAAGGGAATTATTTCCTGTCACTGCTTTTTTTTTAACCTTCCTAGGAAGTGTTGGTAAATTTGGGTGAAGGGTGTTTTATATCTTTAAATTTTTTAAGTCTCTTTTTTTAAAACAAGATTTGGGGGACTTTTGGACTCGTATGTGAGCATCTTGGTTTCGAAACCAGCATTTTTCATCGCCTCATTCCTTTGCTGTCAGAAAAATGTTAATGGGAGATTGGGAGCATTTGTTTATTTCTACTAGTTTGTGAATGTAAAACCACTCATAAAACCATAGTTCCAAATTGGCTGAAAATGAATTAGAAAAAAAATTTTAATCCGTCAAAATGTTTTGTCTTTTAACAATTGTCTTTTTTGTCCTGTGAAAGAGAAGTCAGACAAAACAGACAAGCAAAATGAATGGCCAGAAACAATCACTGTTAACATTTTGGTGTATACGGTTCCAGATCTATTCATATATATGCACTACAACATGCCTACACATTTTTGTTGTTGGGGTGGAGAATGTCACCATCAAATTCACTATTTTGTAACCTGCTTTTCCTTCCACCTAATACACTATGAATGTCTGTTTTATTCATAACTGCATAGTATTCTATTGTATCACCTAACGACAATTTATTTAATTGCCTCCATATTGTACATTTAGTTTCCAAATTTTAGAAAGAAAATATGAGCAATTATTTTGAAGTAAACAAAAAACATTTAAAGGTACATAGTTGCAAAACTACTGTATTTCCCCATGTAAAAGACGCTCCCATGTATAAGACGCACCTTAATTTTGGGGCCCGAAATTTGAAAAAAAATGTATTACATAAAGTTATTGAATTCAACTTTTATTCATCATAAAATTCATACAACTCCTCATCACTGTCAAAACTCCCAACCATTAGCTTGTCCTCATCTGTGTCTGATGACGAATCACTGTCTTCATATATTGCCTCTCATGGCCTTCTTCTGCCATGGCATTTTCAGTAGGGTTTCTTCTTCCCGTAGCCAGTCTCGAATTGTTTTCTCAGTTGGAAGAGGACCAAACTTATGTTCAGCAGCACGATTTCCATTCACTTTTGCAAACTGGATCACTTTTAGTTTGAATTCAGCACTGTACGAAAATCTTTCCTGAGCCATTTCTGGGCAGAACGTGGCAAAACGTAATATACCGGTAACAAGTGCGAAACAATGAGCGCAAAGACAACAAGCGCAAAAAAGTGGGAAATGCAAGTAAAAAAAACTACAACCACTGTATGAGATGCACCCAGTTTTTAGACCCCAAATTTTTCGAAAAAGGGTGCGTCTTATACATGGGGAAATATGGTACTTGATGGTGTACCAAATTATCAAAAAGTGAAAACTCAGTGCCTGGTGTTATCCCTTTTTGACCAATTCCTCATTTTGACCAAAGCATTACCTCTAGTTTCACTTGGCTCACTCCACCCCTCCCAATTCACCCCACCTTCTACCTCTCACCCTCCAGAGTCTCCTCAAACATTTGTCCATCCCATACTTTCCTCACTTTGACTTTTTCCAAACTCTTTTCCTTTAGCATTCCCCTATTAACCAACCTAACCTCTGTCCAAACTCTTCATTCTCTTTTCCCCTGCTTCCTCTGATCCCCCTCCTCTAGGCCTCTCTTAGACCTAAGCTCTGGAGCAGGTGCCCCTACCTCAACCCCCTCAAATTAATCCCTCTGAACCCTACTCTATAACTTTTGCTCCTCTCTTCTAAGACCCCCACCTCCCATTTCGCCCTGCATTTTCCCCTTAAGATGACTGCTCCAGTGGACGGTTCTGAGTCCCTATTGATACTTCTTTGGGACTTTCCACATCCTTCTCTGGATGGCTTTTCCTCTCATCATCCAAGAAACACCCGTTTAGCACACATTTTCCACAAGAAGAAACCTAGGCCTACTCTCTTGCTCCTCCGACAATTATGACAGAGCTGTGCCTCTCCCGAGAAACCTGGGGAAGCTGCAGCTACTACTCCAGGAGCCCATCAAATCAGGCCCTGTCCTGGCCATGGCCCCAGTCATCTCAGCCTGTACCACCTTCCTTTGCCCCCTCCAGCTTAATGAATTCCAGTGAAGCAGTGGTGACAAAATTTTTACCCAAGAGCCACTTATCGCGGGTGATTATTCGTGACAACCTCAGTGCACAACGACTCTATGAGATGGAGGTAAGATCCTCACAACCTTTTGTGTTAGAGGGTGTTTGTGGCTTGACCCATGTTCATTTCACTCTCCCCTATACCCCGTGAGGCAGATCACAGATCTTAGAGGTGATAGGGAGTCATCAGGGTGCTCTAATGCAAATCTCATTTTACAGAGGAGGAAATTGAGACGGGGGTGGGGGGGGGTGGTACTGAGTTGCCCAGGGTGTCACAGCTATTTCTGGGCCAAGGGAGCCAGGGAAAAGGATTTCATGTCTCTTGGCTCCTGTGGCATTTTTTCCCTCAAAGCACATTACCTTTCTATTTGGGGAATCCATGAATGGATTCCTACTATCCGCCATAAAAAGAAGTTTGGGCCCTAGAGCTTGAAGTGGCATCAACACAGTTTGGCCAATTTTTTTTTTCCTTTAGGGATTACCCCCCATTTTTCATAAGAGAATTGAGTCTTCTACTTTTTTGGTTATGAACAAGTAAGGCTTGACCTGCTCAGCTGAAAGCCCTCAGAAGAAAGGGAGGGAAACGACAGTGCCATCACCCCACAGACCTGATTGATTAATTCATTAAGTCTATCCTTAGGGCCTGCTTGGGACAGACACTGAGAGGCTTAAGAGATGGTGCCAGATCCTCTTAGGGGCACAGAGACCAAAAAAAGAGTAGAGGCCTGTGTGTTTCTCTCACTGCTAAACTTTCAGTGGCCTGGTATAGTGGAAACAAGGTGAACTCAGAGATGGGCAGGCCAGCTTTGTGGGACCCTGGGGGAATCACATTACCTTGAGGACTCTCATTTCTCCTTTATAAAATAGGATCTATTAGGATCCTTTAAGTCGCAGGTGACACAAACTGAACTTGAATTAGTTCAAGCAAAATAGAGAATAATGAGTTTACATAATTAAGGATAGATAGGACAGGGTCACCAATGTTTGGGATGAGAGAAGCCAGGGGCTCTGACGCCACTGGGTGTGTCTTCTACTCACCCTCTTCATCTCCTTTTCTGCTGCTTTCTGCATGTTGGCGTCATCAGGCTAGCTGTCCCTGGGGAGCATGGCCACAGGAAACCCCAGGCAGTTGCTCAGAAAGGAAATGTAGTGCTTCTACTGTTGCTTGACTTAGACAAATCCTGGAGAAGGACTCCAGTTGGCCCAGGTTGGGTCATGGGCCCATCCCTGCCCCAATCACTGTGTCCAGGTGGTGTGGGCTATTCTTACTGGCCTAGGAGGGGTTGAGGGCCACCTCTATAAACCAGTGGGTGGGGAATATTGTACCTGTGGCAAGTGGGGTGAGTATCTCTGAAATCCTGTAAGCGGAAACTCTCCCAAGTTGGTTTTATACATACCAGAGGGTTGTGTCAGCCTCCAGCCATCCAGGAGTTCTCCTTTTAAAACTGTATTGAGCCCTTATGTATTGTAGGTACTCAATGTTCATTATGTATTATTACCCCATTTAAGAGTTCAGGAAACAGGCTCAGAGAGATGGAGTAA